ATCTTTTCAGTGAGGCTGGACACCATATGAAGCAGATCCATGACAAATAGCTGGGAAGCTGTCTGTTCAAAGTGTTAGAACTAGCATCCATTATTAGAAACTGGGCAATGGACATGTTGCCCTGGCAATATCCAAGTAGCAAGAGAAAGGTATTATTGCTAGATCCCCCAAGTCAGGAGCATCTCAGGACCTGATATTTTAGGGGTAGACCATGAGCCCTTGGTAATGCCATTCACTATTATACACAAGCAAGAGCCACAGTTGCTCAGACCATGCCATTCAGATAAAAAGCTGAAAAGTCTAACAAATTAGGAAATATTACTCTAACTGGAAATTAAGTTGTTCAAGCTCTGCTTTGAATGGTAGAAGAAACAACTTTTGCCCAGCTGTATTTTGACACCTTTGCAAGCTAGTTGCAATCTGTAATTTGGGGTGTTTAATCAGTGAACTTGGAGAAGTTTGGTTTTTTTTTACTACCACTCCCAGTATCCATGGGATGTGAGATTCTGAGAGTGGTAGCCCAAAAAAGTAACTTCCACCCACTCAGATAAGCAGTTGGGCCCCTTGCGTGAGACATCTTTTAGTATGGTGGTATCAGGTGTGCAGCCCGCCCTCTATCCTAGCCTATAGTGACAAAGGAAGTAGGGTTTTCACAACAGAGCTTATCTGACTGTAGATTGGTCCTGTTCTAAAGGTCATAAATGTATATTTGAATATATTCCTTGAGAACTCATTTTCTCCCCTTGAACAGCAGGTACAAATGACTTCTGAAATTCCTAGATGTTTAAAATAAGGTGCAGGCAGTTGCAGCAAATTATATAACCATAAGATGTGCCAACGTAATTGTGCAGTTCTTTGGATTATGGCCTAAGAGTTTTATGCTTCAGACAGCATTACAAGTATTCTAATTCATGATCATTATCCCAGGTCTCACTTCTGGCTGTTGATGAAATGCACATGAATTTACCACGAATGAAAAAAGATATTTACTGGGATGATTCATCAGCTCGCCCACCGTATACGTTAGCAGCAGCGGATTCCTGCATTCCGTCTTTCCTTGGATCAACCATTGAAATGGGGTATGTAGCTCTACAATACCTTACGATAGTTTTCTATGGTCAAAATGGTTCCGCAGTGGTTCTCCATTAATAGCCCACAATTTATCCTTGAACAATTAATACTTGAACTAAGATTAAAGTTTAAGTGTCACTGATTCTGGACAGGATATAGCAAATGGCAGACAATGAAGAATAGAAGAAGAGCCCAGCTTGATCAGACCCAGAGTCTATCTGGTCTAGCATGCTATTTCCCATAGTGTCCAGTTAGATGTCCCATATAAGAAGCAACCATACAAAATTATAAGCAAGACATTCGTTCAACAGCATCTCTTTCCACGTGTTTCCTGGCAACTGGTATTAAGAGTATGGATCCAAATATTTGCTTATTTTAATCTCTCATGTAAAAATGAATAATTTCAAATGTTTTCTCCTTGCTGGGCAGTTTTTGCTCATATTTTCACATTTGGTACTTCTTTTGCAAAATAATTATTTGGACCAAAAAAAGCTCTGTGTTTTATTTACACTGATTTAATCCCTTATTTTACCCTCAAAGGAGTAAGTGTTGTGGTAATCACATTTTCAGGCAGTTTTTTCACCTGAACAAGATATATTTTGGTGAGAGGAGTCAGGAATTTTGCAGTTGTCCTTGAAGTCACTAACAAGCTGCTGGAGCAGCACATGTTCCCCATCTAGCTGGAGATGACATGAAGTCAGAGAGTTGGTGAATTTTATATTCATCTGGAATGTGACACAGAGTCAGTCAAACATTTTAAGGAGGAAGTATAAAAAAAGACAAGTACCTAGAAAGAGTATTTGGGCAAGGAGGGGAAGGGAGGGGACAAAGTAGAGAGGCATTGTTGTTAAAATTCCTGAGATTAATAAAAAGGGGCAGGAAAATGTGAGAAGACTGTTAGGTATTGCTGGTGAGTAAAAATGTGGAGAGCAGGGAGATTCCAGGGACATATTTTTTTGGAGAATAGGGATGGATCCAAGCAATGCTGGCTAAGCAGAATTACAACTATAATTCTGTTTAGAATTAGATTACCGCATGATGCGTTAGTGATGGAATTAAAGTGGAATTACAACCTATGATTCCTCTTCTTTTTGCATGATGTTGTCACTCATCCATTGCTGATCTGTTATTCCATTATTATCACACAATTTCACATTAACAAAACATACCAGTGAGTGTAAAGTTGTGGGATAATAATGGTATAACAAATGATCAACAACAGATGAGTGATGACATTGTGTGAACAGGAGAGGAATCATAGACTGTAATTTCATTTCACTCTACCCCATATTAGCCAATAGCAAACACATCACCAGTGCGTACACATCACCATCCATTGACTAATATGGGCTTGAACTTCCATGTCTTTTACCATCCATGGGGGGGGGAAACCAAACCCTCACAGATGAGAAGAGCCCACTATAGTTACAATTCTTTCATAAAGATGTTATCTTCTGTTTTCCCCTCTAAAGTTAATTTGGGTTGTGAGTATTTTTCCCCCAAACCATCCTCTTGACCATGGCTGGTGGTGTTTTTGGACTATATAACAATACACACAAGGAATTAGTTTGCCATTGGTACATATAAGTGCTTTCATGTTTTTTCTTGCAGCCTGGCAGATAGCCAGTTCCTGTATGGAGAAAACTGGCACCGGGATTATGACAAACCCAGAAGGCAGCATTCCGTGCTGAGAAAAATGAAGCGATTTATGAGTGTCCGTGAAGAATCCCCAGTCCCAGTCAGGAGCTACCAAAGACAGTCCAGTGAAAATTCAGTTTTTTTCCCATCTCATGAAATGCATCACATTGGCAATCTGTTAGAAATTCACTCTAGAGGGAGACATTTTGCCTCCAGTGAAAGGAACAACCATGAAGCGCCCGATGGGAACATGAAGGGGCCTGGGAGTATAGATCTAGGAGTTATAAGAGAAACCAGCAAGAATGATGCTCTAGAGACAGGTTGCCAGTCCACTGTGGATGACAGCATAACCAAAATGGATCCTGTGGCCTCTGAAAAGATTGTTGTTGAATCTGAGGACAAAGAAGCCAGAACAGATTTAGAAGCAAACAGCACTGCTGTCATCCAGACAGAAAAAGATTTTGGCAGTCAACGTGAGTCAGAGACTGACTCTGAGATACTCATGCTGACTCCCAATGAGCCACAGAACAGTCCTGCACATCCACTGACATTTCCTTCAAAAGCAGAACCACCACACATGGAATCCAGGCTACAGGATTCATCCATCAAGAACCAAGGGAGAAAAGAACCATATTCACCTCGAAGTACATCTGAAAGTGCTACAGTCAGTCAGTTATGGAGATTCCCAGATGTTCTTACTCAACATGCAGGGCACACCACAGAAATGGCTCCTCCTCTTCCAGAATCTTCTCAAACATCTTCTGGGAAAAGTAACCTGAGCATCCCCAGCACTCCTACCTCTGCTTCTGCTTCTCTAAATACATTTGATATAAGCTGTTTACTGGAACAGGGTGATGCTAAAGAAACTGATATCCTTCATATAGTTGAGATCAGCAATGGAAAAAATAAAGGACACCTCTGAGAAACGAAAGAGCACCAGTGTGTTTGACTCCTACAGCCAACCGAATATCTATTTTAGTTTATTTAGTTTTAACTGTTCACTTTAGGGCAAAGCTACACTAGGGCTGCATCTATACTGCAGAAATAAAGCAGTTTGACACTACTTTAATTACCATGGCTCAATCCGAAGGAATTATAGGATTTGTAGTTTTGTGAGATATTTGGCCTTCTCTGTCAGAGAGCTCTAGTGCCACAACAAACTACAAATCCCAGGATTTCGCAGGATAGAGCTATGACAGTTAAAGCTGTGTCAAACTGCATTGATTCTGCAGTGTGGCAGTACCCTAGGACCTTGCCTACCAAATGCTCTGAATATCTTTATTTTGATAAAACAGTTCAAAAATGTTTAAACCTACCTTGACTTAATTTTTCTGAGCAGGTGTCAGTCCAAATTGAACCAGTAGGGAGAAGAATGTGTGTTAGGTTAACCACATTCAAGAAGCAGATGCTGGTTGGAGCCAACTAGAACAGATCCACTCACTCAACTGCTGAATGGTGAGTCTACACATAGGCAAATCCACTGAATTGACGAGTCTTCTTTAGCCAGGATTAACAACAGAATTTAGGCCTGACAGTCTGTTAGCAATTAGAAGGCACACTTGTGAAACTTCTTCCTACAAGTTCGCCATCCAGCCCATGGCCCCCTTTTCCACCTCTCCACCCCCTGGAATATACCAATCAACCTTGATTTAAAAATCCATCAGTACCAATGGAAGACTTTTATAAGCCTAATTGTAGTATAGGGGATAATTTGCAAGCAGATTGTAACTGGGAAGAGAACCCTTCTCATGAATCCACACTTCCCTCAAAAAATAATTTCTTCTTACTAGTAATTGGGATTCAAACAAATTTCACACTGGCTGGTAAGCAACAGAAAGCACACTTGAAAATAAAAGTGAAAAGGGGTCAGTCTCAAAGATCATTTCCTTGAACAAGTTTAATCCACTTGTACATTTGCATCCAGTACTAGTCCTAAAAAACATAAGGTGAGAAATTCAAATTTTAAAAGTATCACCTGGAGTCATGATGGCTCTGAGCATACAATCCCTTTGCAAAATGCATTTTTGAGTGTGCAGTAATCAGATTCAGGGGTGTTGCAATCCTGTGCAGGCTTCTTCAAAAATAAGTCTGAGAATTACTCTTATGTATGTGGGCACTGAATTAAAGTCATGAGTGTCCCACCTATCTGCAAAGCACCACAAAGAATTGTTGTAGACAAACCAGGATTCCCTTGTCATTCTATTTCTAAAACCAGGTTTGCCCCACTACTGAAGGAAGCCCCCTTCACATATTTGCCAGAAAATTTAGGTACCATACAGAACATTGAGAGAGCCAGCATAGTATAGTGGTCTGAGCATTGGACTATGACTCTGGAGATCTGGGTTTGATTCCCTGTTCCGTCATGGAAATCCATTGAATGACCTTGGATGAATCACACATTCTCAGTCCCAGAAAACCTTACAATCACCATAAGTTGGAAACGACTTGAAGGCACACAACAACAACAAACATTGGATTCCATAAGCATTGTCTTCTAAGGTGTACGTAGTATCTGAAAGACTGTGTCACCCCTGACAGAAAGCAAGCAGGACAGGTAGAAAAGAGCTAGGTGAACCCTGATTAAATGTCCACTTCCATTAGTTAGCTACCAGACTTAACACAACCTTTGATTCATAGAGAAAAATCCCATTAAGATACTAACATGTCAACTCAGATGTAAGTCCATTGACTTCAGGGCAATTATTCCCATCAAGGGATGGAAAATATGGTCTTCAGAGGTTTCTAGACTCTATCTCCCACCACCCCTTACCACTGACTATAGCAGTTGGGGTTGATGGGAGTTACAATCCAGCAGCAAATGAAGAACTCTTAAATTGCCTATCCTTAGAATGTAGAACTGTAATTATGGCTGTTGTCATTTACACACATACTTTCCAGTAAACATTCATATTCCCTATTACTATGTATGGATATAAGAGCTGGACAGTTAAGAAAGATGATAAGAAGAAAATCAATTCATTTGAGATGTGCTGGAGAAGAGTGTTGAGGATCCCATGGACAGCCAAAAAGACAAACAAATGGATCCTAGAGCAGATCAAGTTAGAAACCTCCCTGGCAGCCACGATGACCAAACTGAGGCTGTCATACTTCAGACACATCATGAGAAGAGAGGACTCATTGGAAAAGACAATAATGTTAGGAAAGGTGGAGGGAAATAGGAAGAAAGAAAGGCCATATGCCAAATAGATGGACTCTATTAAGGAGGTCGTGTGTATGGGTTTGCAGGAATTAAGCAGAGCAGTGGAGGACAGAAGGTCTTGGAGATCAACTCGAGGGCAGTTAACAACAACAACGACATTCATGGGATTAGACCACGTGGCTTAACTTTTTAGTATTTCATTGAGAGGGTTATGGTGATGCTCTTTGCTGAGCACATACTTCATTGACTAAATAAAAAAAATGTATACCTAATGTATAAAGGCACTCCTGTGGGAATTTGCTACAAACGCTGACCTTCCAGTGGGAATCCACTACAGGAGTTCTTCACCTTCTTTCCTCCCAACCCATCTAGAATTACTTTTTCACACTACATATCGGGCAAGGTTATTAACATTATCCCAGTTTCCATCAATGAGTTTTTACACCCTCTGAAACTTCTTTGTTTTATGAGCAGCAGGTTTTGCAAACCCAACTCTATCATTCCCACGATCAAAGATACAATAAAAAGCAGACATAAATACATCTCCCAGAATCCACAGAGGCTTGTTGCGGCTGCCGAGGTCCATAGCCTGAAAACCACTGAGACACAAATCGTCTTCTCTGCTAGATTCCTGTCACAGAAGGGGAAAAAAAGCTTTTTCATTGAGTGATGTGTTTCCATGAGTGCTAGGTCTAATAGAAATGTACATTGCATGAGCAATTTGGCCTCTGTCACACAAATATGCCTGCCCCTTTCAAAAAAATGTCACATACTTTCACTAAAAGGATGGGTGGTATGGAAATGTGATAATGGCCAATCTCCTGCTTCAAGCTGCAATTGAGTTCTATGTCCTTTCCCCACTGCAGCAGCCTTAGGTACTGTTGTTCACTGGTGAGGAGGTGAAGGAGGAAGGATGCAATCCAGACAAGAAAGAAGCAACTGACCTCTGCTCAGAAGGGGAAAGAAATAAGGAGGCATTCACATAGGAAGTGCACCCCTCCTCCTTTTCCTTCCCCTCGGAGCCCAGCCCAACTGCATCTTCCATCATCTGGATTGCTTAATCCTCCCTTCCTCTGGTAAACAGGGGCTTATGACCTATCAAAAGCCTCAAAGAAAAAGTTTTTGGGGAGGCCCAAAGTCCTAGAGAAGAGTCCCCTGTGCTCTGTCCAACAAGATGCACATGCATATGTATACTTTGCTAACAGAATGTCACCCAACATATCCTCTCTGCTATCAGGACTATATTTCCTCCCCCAGTGCAGCCGTACTTGGTTTATTTGATGGGGTAGAACAGGGATATGGTTGCACATGCAGATGTACATCAGAATCCGTAGGAAATCTGAAGTCACACCGCATGGATATGCATCTCAATGTGGATGCCATCCATCCAAGTGCCTTAGTTCCAATGGAGTGTTGTAAAATAGAAGAGGTGGTCTCAAATGAGGTCAACAGCCTTTCAGTCCCGTGCAGACAATTCAGCTCCTCATTTTGAGCCATTTTACGTTGAGCATGGTCTCTAACAATGTTTCTTGCCTCTGGATCCTTGATCCTCTTCTCTCTCATCCCATGCCTGACATCCTGGCCATCTGTCATCACATCTGTGCTCCTTCTGGTCCTTGACTACCTGTGCCCATATTCAAAGCTAGGCCAAATCCTGGCAGATTTGCATTTAGATAACCTAAATGTATCTTTTCACCCACATCCTGCTCCAGTTAGCTATTCATAATCATGCCAATTGAAGAAGATAGGAGTGGAATTGTTGCTGCAAAGGGCTGGTGGGCAATGAAACTATCAGTGCTGAGCAAGAAGACAGAGACACTATGTTCTGTCTTTCTTCAAGTTCTTGCAGGGGTAGGCAACCTTTCCCCTTTAAGGGCTGAGGGACTTCAGCTCCCAGAAGCCTCAGCCATGTTGGCCAAGAGTCCCATGTTGGCCAATAACTCCTGGGATTCTGGGAGCTGAAGTCCCTCGGCCCTTAAAGGGGAAAGGTTGCCTACCCCTGTCATACTGGGAAGAATGGAAAGGCATCATTTGCCTTGGGTAACATCATGTGTACAAATCTGATTGACTGTGTACCACTCTGATTTCATTGTATTTGCTACAGTATCCCCATGTGGCTGAGATCACTTAGCAAAGAACGAAAGGGAGCCATGAAGAAGGGGCATATTGGGACTGTAACCGATGGGGAAGAGGCTGACAGATCATCAGATTAGGGGAGGTTCTTGGAGGCTTTTCATACCCATCAAAAACATTTTCTATATTGAAACTCTAAAGCAGGGGTAGGCAACGTAAGGCCTGGGGGCCGGATGCGGCCCCCCGAGGCTTTTGGACCGGCCCCAGGCCGGTCCTGCTGCCGCCACTGCCGCCCACCATCATGATATTTATTATTGTTGTTATTACTTGTTCTTGGGGTTTTCTTGGCAAAATCTCCACAGGGGTTTTGCCATGGCTTCTCTGGGGCTGAGAGAGTGTGCATGCATATATTTTTAATTTTTTAAAAAAATATTTTTAAAATTTTTATATTTATTTATTTATTTTTGGTGCTTCGGCCCCTCTATTGTCTGAGGGACAGCAACCTGGCCCCTGGTTCAAAAAGGTTGCCTACCCCTGCTCTAAAGTGTGAAATTTGGCATAGCACTAGTGTCTTTTGTGTTGTTCAACAAATGGAACCCATGAGAACAATAATACATACCTTGATTATGTATTGCTCCGCAGTTAGTGTAAAATCTCGCTCCCCAATGGAAAAGGTTATTGGGGGCAGACTGGATAATCTTCTGCAATCTACAAGAAACTGTAATGTAAATCCATTTATTAACTGAACAGAGGGTTGGTTTTATTCTCTCATTTATGTATATCTGTCAAGTGCCATATTAACCTTGTATATCTGGGAACTTCACAAACAGAGCATCATGGTGATGAAAGTCCTATCCGTCCCCTATCATCTAGTAACCAGAGGCATATTGCCTCTGAACATTATTGACCTATTTTTAACACTATCATTAACAGCCAGTGATAAATTTCATGGGAGGCAACATTACACACACTCCTATAAGCCACTGAACAGACGTCATGGCTGGTTAAATATTTTAACTTCAACTGTTGTTTTTATATTGTTTTGATTTAATTCTGTTTTAAGGGGGGAGGGTTCGCTTATATTGTATGTTTTATTCTGTACTGTATGTTTTAATTGTAAGCCGCCTGGATTGGATTACCAATGGGCGGGATATAAATAAATTTTATTATTATTATTATTATTATTTATATTATAGAGAACTCCCAGCAACTTGGGGTCCATTCACACTACAGAATTATAGCACTGTTATTCCACTTTAAATGGCATGGTTCTGTCCAATGGAATCCTGATTTTAAATTCTCAGCCAGAGATCTCTAGTGCCTCACCAGACTACCAATCCCAGGATGCCAAAGGATGGGACCAGGGCAGTTAAAGTAGAACAATAATGCTATAATTTTAAAGTGTGAATGGGCCCTTGGTGCCTTTCAGATATTTTAAACTACATCTCCTGTTATCCCAGACCATCAGCCACATTATCTGAAAGTGATAGGAGCTGTAGTCCAACACATGTGGAGAGTCCTATAACAAAGGCAACAATACGATATCTTGCTAATAGGACTCAGTCTCAGTCTTCCCCAGTCTCTTGAGTCGCACAGGGTCAAATGCAAAGCCCATTGCACCAAACTAGAAATGCAAAGGAAGAAAATGGCTGCACTATCTATCTGACCATCAGAGTCTGGAGATGCTGATACAAAACTGAATGGGCAATAGATAACAGGAAACACAGGCATAACTCCAGTTGCTTGTCCCATCTAGAGTAGACTAGATAATTAGTGGAATTTCTATAAGTGCCAGCTTACCATTTAGCATTTAAGTCTATGGGTCTAGTTTTGTTGAAACAAACAACTGGATTCGGACATAAATGAAGAAACTAGACATGACTTTATTTCAGTGCTAGCCACATTAGAAATGATGTTTCAGTTTAAGCCAATCAAGACAGCCAATCAGTAAAGGTGATTAAATGAAGGGTCACATATCACTGATGATACCTATAAATAATGGAATAGAGCGGGGTAGGCAACCTAAGGCCCGGGAGCCAGATGTGGCCCCCCAAGCCTTTGGACCAGCCCCAGGACGGTCCTGCCACCGCCGCTGCCACCCGCCATGACGATATTGATTATTGTTGTTAT